ATTCGGCGTTCTAACCAATTAAGCTAACCGGGAGGCGGTCGAGCTAACTGGGAGGTTGATCATCTGGGTAAGGGTAGTCCTGAGAAGGACTCAATCGTGCAGTAATTAAGTAACTGATGTGTGGTCAACGGCCTGACTGGAAGTCATCGTCAGACTCAAGTGAAGAGTTGTTGTCAGTCCAGTATACCAAATCTGGTTCATGTAAACTGATTAGTTTAGTTTAGCTGTGTTTTTGGCATTGGTTGGTCGTGACTGGGTCATTTGTAGTGCAATTAAATATCATAAATAAGTCAATGGTATGGTGCCAGTAATAGTTGACACCTGTTGAAAGGAGTCAGTTCTAAGTCACTGAGTGAATGTTTAAAGTTGTGACATTTGGTTTAGAGTCAGCTTTAGCTGTGTTTTTTTTTTGTATAGCTCATTCTGTTCTAAGGAAGTGGATACTGTTATCTGACCCAGAAGACAAAATGGCAGGAGCAAAAGTAAGAAGCAAATCATGTATTTTCAATTGGTAACCTAGCTAATTAAAAACTCCACTGTTTTCTGATTATCAAAAAATTAAACCTGTATGGAAAATTTCAAACCAAGGAAAAAGTTAAATTATGCCAAATCATATTGTTTATTAAGTTTACTGTGATGATGATGCATAAAAGTTTTCTTTTCTGCCCTTTTTAATGCCTCTTCTCAGGGCTACTTGAAAGTTACAGTTATGGTTCTAGGACCTGGTGATGAAGCCCCAGTAAGTGAGAAATTTCATTTTTCATTTCAAGCTTAATCTCAGGGGTGTTTAGTGATACAGTTTGGCTGGGTGCCACAGCCAGCTAACAAATTGATGCTTGCATGATCTGGGCATTCTGGAGTTTTGAGACCAGAGCTTTTGAACATTCCTTTAAGAGTGCTACTTTGTATCTGATATGATGTACTATCTTTGTGCAGGTGGTGACAATAACAGAGGATCAAGATGACCTTGATGATATTGAAGAGTAAGTAATTCTAAAAAGAGTTTGGTTTATTCAATGTTTTCTTTGTTTGTGTTCTTTTTTTTCAGAGTCCTGCATATTTGAAATTTGCAGCATTTGGCATGTGAAATGCATTTTTATCACAATTGGCAGGAATGTCTCAATTTGAATGGCCAATTTGTCATCGTAAATTAGAGTTACAGACAATGCTGCTCACATCAACATGTCCCACATTTAATTTATGGTCACCACTTGAAAGAATTGTTTTGTTTGATGTTGATATTGTGCTGTGCCGAGCGAGTCCACAACATGTTGACCACTGTGATGATAAATATCATTGTCAATAAGAGTACAGACCATGCTAAAACACTGTTGATTTGTTAGGCTTATATATGTGTACTTGTAATCTTCAAGTTAATTGAATCTAAATTAGACTTTTTGAGTGTATTAGCCATTGTGTTTTTGTTATCATGTTGTTCTGTTTAAGTTGAGTTTTCCATGCATGCAACTAAGGGAAGTTTTCTTTCAATTTGCACTCTGAGTTGATAAACTGTTTGCTTTGTGTTTTGTTTATTTACAGTAACTTGATCCAACCTCCAGGCATGATGCTTAGACCAGCAGTTTTCTCCCTGAGAGTCTTTAGAGCTGAGGATATTCCACAGAGTAATATTTCATTTTTACTAGTAAATAGTTTTGAGGGATCTATGTGGCTCCACCTTAATTATGCTGGGAGTAATTTAATGCTCCTGAAAATATCAAAGTAACAACTGAATTCTCAGTATTTCAGTTGGTACAGCATTAAATGGGAAATTCAGAACTCAGGCGTATCTCTGTCCCAAATCTAGGAATGAATACTGTTGAGCATCTTTTTCTAGTTCTTAACTTTTTACCTCTTAAAGTTCTTGAAGTTCAATTTTCTTTTGTCTGAATTAAATCGGTGTATATTTTAAAAGTTCAGGGCTGTGCAATTTCTATAAGCATTTGAGACATGTGGACATGCATGCCATACAAATATTAAAATTAATCTTCATGGACTTTTTATTTAGTTATCTTTGTGTTCTCATACATGTGTATCTTTGCAGTGGACTCCGCAGTTAGTGAGACAATTAAAAAAACCTTAGTTGGTGGTGAGATGAAAGAGTTGGTTGACCCATACTTGATATTCTCATTTGCTGGCAAAGAAGTAAGTCCTTTGTGTTTTTTACCTATTTGATTTCTATTTTCCCTTTGTTTGAAATCAAACCGATCTGAAACATTCTGCACCACAATGAGCCACAGTGTATACATGTACATGTAGGTGCTGATATACCCACACGTCAACTGTTCACTTGTTATCATGAAACATAGAGAACAAATAGAAATTGTCATTACCATTATTGATTTTTAGCCAGAGGCAGCTCTTTGTGAACTGTAAGTTTTAAAATGAAACACCTTAAAATGCAATGGCCCATTTCTCAATTACCTTTAGCCTCTTTTTAAAGCGAGTCTTAATCGTTGGTGCTCTTCCTTTCATATGATGATAAGTTTTCATTCACATGCAAATTAAACTCATTTTTACAAGAATGGTTGAGTGCCAGGCCTCATTTTGAAAAAGAGGCCAGAGGTAATTTGGAAATGGCTTGTTATAGTTCTTCTGGTAAACACAGATGTCTCGTAGTTGCTGGATGTAATGTAAGTTGCAAAATGTAAGAATTCCCTGGAAGGTTACTGAACTAAGATCAATAAGTATTATTGAGATTTGGGGTCAAAATGGCTGGATTTTGGCCAATTTCCTGCTTCTCTATGAACCAAGATGAACTTGAGGTTCATAAAAATTTAAAAAAAGAAAGGTGCTATTTTTTGCCATCGTGATAGAACAAGCTTGTTAATTAAAATATTTATCATATAGCAAAAATTTTTTGCCTCAATTAGGTTAGTCTCAGTTGAATTAATTAGAAAGCTGTACAATGCTGCACATTTTTTCTTGCTCGGAATTAAAGCTGGCAATCCAACTCTCATCCTGCCTGCTCCAACAGCCTATCAGAACATATAGGATATGCTTCTTGCCAGCTCTTGATAATTAGTGATCTTCTTTTTCAGGCAAGAACAGATGTACACAAAAACTGTGATCACCCTGAATTCAAACAAGGGCTACATGTTCCATTTCAGGTACAAATTGTTTTTGCTTTGGCTGTGATAGGCTATGCAAAAATTGAAACCTTGTTGGTGTCTTTAACCCTCTTTCTCCTAGGAGTGGCCAAAATGAAATTTCTCCTAACAGTATCAGGGCCCAGTTATTTAAAGGTCAAGCTTGCAATTAACGTGTGCCATCCAAACAGGGTACCCTGCCACTGAGCTGTAGAGGAATTATTGAAGAGCTTGGCAATAAACTTGTCTATACAGTGCTGTCTGTAGTACTATGTAGGTCATTTGTCTTGTTTGAACTTAGTTTTGGCCTTGTTCACCAATGAGTTCTGTTATGGTATCGAGTCAGGATGAATGAGGTTAACGAGATTCAAAGTCATAGACTCAACCACATTTTTAATCCAGCAAACAAGTGTACATGCAGGAATCTGATGCGCATACGCGCAGGTACAAAACTACATGTAAACTATGACAAGTTCTCGTAGGCTAAATGGTGGAGAATTGGACTGCGAAATCTCAGGTTCTCTGCAGGCTTTAATCTTTGGGAGGGTAGGGAGAGACCATGTTTTTTCCCACCCTTGCGTCAAACGATTAAATTTCTTTATTTGCTGAACATGGTTAAAACTTACAATGTTTTTCATTAATCTCTTGTGGTTACGTCAAAAAGTAACAAACCTCAGTGGAACCTTTTTCAATCTTCTACACTTTGATAATAAATTGTAGTGTTATATGGTTAGTTTAGGAGGAGTCACCTTTGGCCATGGTCAAAATACAAGGTACTGGTATATGTATGCCACACAGATGAAATCTAAGTGAGCCCCTTTTTTTGTTTAAGTTCCCTACCATGGCAGAAAAGTTAAAGTTGCAGTTATGGGACTGGTATGTAAACTTTTTTTATTTTTTAAAGGATGGTTATACTGGTGTTACTTTATTATACCTTTTTGTTGTTGATTTTGAAATTGAATTATTTTTATTATTCTTTTCAAAACAAATTTGATTGGTGTATAGATGTGAATAACATTCCAAGTAACCATCAAATTTACTCCTAGAAAAGTATGTTTTGCTGCATACTGTATGATAGTCAAACACACTCCATGTTGGATATAAACTAAACTTTAATGCAAATCACATGATACAACGTAGGCCAGCAATGCGTGAGGGGGAATGGATACTACACATACATGTGATAGAAAAATTTATCATTATTTACCAATTTTTTTGACCTTGTTAGCAATATTTAAAATTCTTTGGCAATGGGAGTCATCTCTTCTAGGAAGGGTATCTGGATGATTGTAGAAAATGTCATCTCTGATGACCAGGGTTTAGCTAAAATTTTAGACTGTTAAAAATTGCAACAACTGTTCTGATTAGTTTGAATTTTTTGGTATACAGCATGATAAAGGACAGGCTCTCTTTAGCTCAATAATAAAGCATTTGACCACAGAATCAGCAACTTTGAGGTTCCAATCCTCAAAGAGCACTCAAAATTTTGCTTTGCCAGGTGCCCACATCAAAGTTCCTTTTTGAACATAATGCTTATAAAATTAATTCACATATTTTGTTTGCTAGGGACAAACTAAGTGGTGATGACTGCATTGGTACCTATTACCTTCCAATGTCTGAAATATCTGGACAAGGAGAAGAAGGTTGGTTAATGGACAAGACCATGCCAATACTGCTTATAGTATTTAAGTACTAGTGTTAGTGTTTAAAATGAATTTCTGGTCAAACTGGTTTGACTTGTTATGTCCTTTGCTCCAGTTACTGTAAACAGTAGCATATATAAGCCACACCTTTTTTCCCAATTAAAATTGTACACAACAAATGGTTTATTTGTGAGTGCAGCTTATACTCTGGCGTGTTTGGTACACGATGAGATCTAACCCAAAAAAAAAAAAATACAAATCAAACTATGATCTTCATGAACTTTTGTTGAAACATCCTTTTACCCTCCTAACAAGCAATTTGTTTTCAGCTGGTCCAATTGTCTCCTCAGCAACATTGACTTGGGGAGAATGGGGAGCTATGTTTCAACAATTTTGTGGAGGACTGAAGTTTGTAATCATTATAAACAAATACTGTTTTGAACCACAGCATAGACCTGGTGTAGAATAGTAAGGAAGGAAGGAAGGAAGAGTTAGAATAGCAGGAAATAATGAAAATAAATTCACAACAAAATAGAATCTTGCAATTTGTGATTTTTTAGAGTTCCAATAACTTTTCCTTGAGCAGCTTCTGGTAGTGTAAAAGGCTGCTTCCACAGAAAAGGGGCCATAAGGTGAAACCCTAACACAAGACCTGCATGCAGGCTTTACCCTTCACAACCTAACATCAGAATGCATATTCTCCACACTGTTCCTTATACATTTCCTAAAATGCTGACATGGAGAATTTGTTTAACAATCAAAAGCTTCTTAAGTTGGTGATCATTTCCTTTGTTCTTGTTACCGTTCATATATATGTGATTCAGGGGTGATATTGTCAGGAGAAATTAGATGCTAGGGGTCAAAGGGTTAACAGATTGGGGTCTAATAGGCAGCTCTAGACCGCTGGTAACAGGCTTTTATTTGAACGTTTTGAAATTTTCTCATGAGCTTCACATGAGTTTTCGGTGTTTCTGAAGTTATCCGACTCAGCAAACTGAAGATGATGAGAACAACAACATGTTGTAACTGGAACAACAAGTAAAAGAACATTTCTAGTTGAGTCAGATATTTCTCTAGAACACTGGGAGAATCCTTTGTGTTTGTCACATCATCATTCATCAACAGCGTACAGCACTGCCATGATTTGAACAAGTCTCTTCTGTTGTGCTTCCAGGATACCTGCCAAGGTTTGGACCTTGCTTCATAAACTTTTATGGCTCCACAAGAGAATACTCTGATCTCCCTGATGAATTTGAAGATCTGAATCTTGGCATTGTAAGTTCTCATGACTACATTGGTTTGAATGTGTACTCACTTATGATCCATGAATTATTTTTGCTCGCGCACGATTGGTCTAAACGCATCAAATGACCGAATATGCCTAAAGGGATAACCCTCAATTTGCAAACCGTATGTCCAATACGATAAAAGAATTCGTTTAGATTTATTTCAAGATGAGAAAGCGTTTATCTTTCATTTCAGAAGATTAGGCACATGTTTGTTTATTCATGAAGCCGTATCAGAGAACACTGAAGAGTAAACATCCCAGTGAGCAAACGGTTAGCTGTTCGTAAACCTTCTGACCTGCGCGTAGCTTTATTGTCGGAAAACTGTTCGTTTCTCGGAACTGCGATATTTACCTTTATGAGGAACCCAGGTTTGATAAGCTTCTAGCTTCTGCTGGGCTACCTCACTGTACTACTTATAAATGACCCTAAATTGTAATTTTATCTACTTTCAGGGTGAGGGTGTGGCTTACCGTGGCCGAGTTCTGGTTGAGTTGGAGACTAAATTAGACACTCAACCCACCAAGCTGGTCGAAGAAGTATTAAGTGATGACATTGTGCGAGTTCAGGTATATGCAGCTCCTGGTTAAAAAAAGAAAAGATTTCTCTTGTGGGCGTAACGTGACAAGTTGTTAGACATCCCTTTCTTGCCATCAACGGCCATTTCTCAATATCAACGCGGCTTAGGTTAGAAGAACCTAAAGCGCTAAACAGTTTTTCACGTTTGGATAGAGCAATTTTCATTTGAGAGTTGAAAGTAATCAGGCATAACGTTGATTCTGCTTTACTTCACTCTTTGATTGGTTCAGAAAACTCACGCGCTCTCTCTCAACCAATCAGGTGCTCAATTTAAACCGATCACGACTTGGTCGCCCGCGTTTTCCCGCGGCAGTGTGGTCGGTTTTACCTTGAGATCTCATTGGTTCTTAAGGTATTTTTCTTTCTTCTGATTGGTCGTTGTGATGAATTTAGATTTGGTTTTACGACAGTCATTCGAAGAGTGCTCTAGCATGCTGCACAGACTTTGTGACTTAGATCCTAGTGTTACCAACCAAATTGGGTGTTAGCTCAAGTCATATACCTTGGCCCGTCTTGAAACTAGGGAAATATTTTTAGATACCAGAGCACTTTCAATTCCAGTTGTTTTCCTTTCCAGACTTATCTACGTCGGCGTAAATACAAGCTGTTTGCCTGTTTTTTGGAAGCCACAATGGTCGCTTGTACTGATGGACCTGTTACTTTTGAAATAAGCATAGGTATGAATGGATAAGTGATAAACAAATATCTAATACAGTACAGACCCACAAAAACATGGAATATATTTGTCAAAAGCGCATAGGACTCAGCATCTCATATAAAATAAAATCACTCACGGTTGGTGCAATGTGCACACGTTTTTGTAAAAGTACTGATTGAAAAATTCCTTTGTCCTAATTTGAGTGAAAAATGATAAACTAATTGTTCTTCACTTGCTTCTGTTGCTAATTTTTTTCCAAACACTGTTGTTTGGTTTCTGTTTTGGTTTCTGATTTGCATGTTTTGATTTCGTTACATAATGATGCTTCACCAAAAGCCCTTTCGCCCCCCAAAAAAGACAAGGCATATCACATCCCTGCCTACTCATGGCAGTTACTTCTTTACCGTGGCCACATTCTTCTGTCTTCAAGATACTCTTTGTGCAGGAGTTCGACTGTAGTTTCTGGTGTGTGTGTGTGTGTGTTTTTTTTTTCAGGTAACTATGGAAACCAGCTGGACTTGTCAGTGCCGCCTTCGTCATCTTCTACATCACCAACAAACGCCATATTTGATGGCAGCTACTATTACTTCTTGCCATGGAATGATATCAAACCGTGTTGTAACGTGGATAGCCATTGGGAAGATATCGCCTTCAGACTGGAGCCAAGGAACATCCTCACTCGGATATGCGAACAACTTGTGAGTTTTAACGTTTTTCCCGACAGATGTGCCATTGCCAGCAAACGTTTCATGTATTCTCGGAGGATTGTTATGTGTATTATGATTTTCCAATTAGGAGTTAGACTTGGAAAAAGTTCAGCTGGCGATTACCGAGAAAGCCGCACTTACAACTGTTGCTGTTCTTACAATTAAAATGCTGGATACATTGATAGAGAGCTGCAGGTAAGAAAGCTAGGAAAAAAGTTCATCCCATAATCCATCTTAGGAAAGTTTGATCATTGGTGGTTTTTGTATCTATCAGCAAGACATTTGATTTTTAACCCCTTTTTTAAACTCCCTTCATCAGATTCTTACTTCTCCCATCTAGCTGCGCTGTATTTCTTTGAAAAGTAGGGGTAGAAGAATCTAAGAAGTACCCGCTGGCTATTAAGTTTGTTTCTTCTGAACTCTAGTTTGTTGTTAATGCGTTGATTTTGCAAGTTACACGTCGATCTAGGCAAGTCACAAAGCACAGTTAAACATTCAAAATGATCAAATACTTTATGTTGACACTCAAATAAATACTGCTTTGTTGACGGGATCTCGTACGATTTCTAGAGAACCCCTTCCTCCGTTGGCAGCCAAAACACCCGGAATCAACGATCTTGATCTGAAGTTGAGAGAGACACGAGAAAGTGAACTGGTCAGTGTCAAATCCA